CCTTATTCTTTAAGTAGTTTCTTGTTTTGGTCCTTCTACTCTTGGCCTTTGCTAAAAGCAGTAAATGTGAGTGGATTTTATGTTGATTATGTCATCTGGGTCTCCTTTCCTTCCCTTCTTTTTCTCATTGAATGGTGGTACCTTAATTTGGGTAACAGCTCGCTCTGGCACCTTCATAAAATACCTCAGAATAGCTTAGCATTGTTGCAAAACTGGTTTTAAACTAAAAACCAAATAAAAGAAAAAACTTTATAAATAGTGGAAATAATTCTAGCTGTAGCATTTAGTTGAACTAATGTTTATTACAATTGATTAACATGATTGATGCTGTATGTATTTGGGATCCTGTTTATAGGTTACAATTTATAGGGTTAGGGAGGGTTGGGTGGGGCAAGAGGAGAAGTTGATTATGTTAGAAGGAAAATGTTGCTCGTGTGTGTGTTTGTTTTTTCTTATATCTGTCTTGCCAAAGGAAACTTGATTTTCCCTGTGACTGGCTTTGGCCTCTCTGTGGTCTGATCTGCAGCAGTGTGTGGTGGCATGCAGGTAACATATGGGGTGTCCAGTAGGTTCAGGGAACCTGAGGGTGCATTTACATCCCTTCCTATGGTTGCTCATGCCCCCTAGACCCTGCCAACCTCTCCTAATGATTCGTTACCTCTGTACATAGCAAAAGCATAGGCAAAGGATGAATGTGTGAATGCCTGGATATGCAGTTGAGAAATAGAGGCAGAAATAGACATGCACCAATTAATTTGGAGCAAAGAGGTGAGTGATTGATGTGTCTTAAATCTAGGCAAGTTAAAGTGAAACAGGTTCTTTGTGTTACCGGTACTCTGTCAGGTTATTGAATGTTGTGCTTAGTAACAACATTTTAAAACCCTACTTACTTTTCTCGTACCAAGGCTAGTTCTCTCTAGACCAAAAACACAAACAGGATAAAAAGCAAACCAAGAAGTTGAAAGTTAACCTGCCCACCTCACCCCTGTGATACAAAGTGTGACCCTCAAGGATTGGTTGGTGGGATTGAGGAGAGAATTATTCTTGGTGAAGACGTGAATGAGAAATGATACTGGCTTAGAAAAAATTACAAGCCCTTTCTGCCCATACTGTGAGACAAACTTTCTTGGTTCCCTGAGTTCCAGTGTAGACTGTATCTCCAGAAAGGCTGTTTTTTTAGATAAATGATCTCACAGAACTTAAGTGGGATTTGGTTTAGATACCAAAGACACTGCTAATGTCATTGCTTATCCTTAAGTTTTCAGAACAGACAGAGGGAATAGGAGCAAAAAGCCAAAATTTGGAAAAGCTTTACTTTATCTCTTCCCTTCCCCTTTTCCCAGTCCCCTGCTTTTTGAAGGAAGTCTTCTTGGTTATCCTGGCTTTGGAAAGGAGATTTATTTTGTTTTGCTCTGCTGGCTGTTCAAGGATGGATAGTTGCTCAGTGTAGCAGTGATGTTCCTGGAATTGCTGAGAAATTTGGGGAGGGCAAAAGATAGGGGTAGGATTTGTTCATTACTTCCCTTTATCTAATACTTATAAATAGAACCAATACAGCCTATATGAGTTCAGACAATATTTAGATTTGCTATCTCCATCTGTCTCCTGTAAAAGATAAGAATTTTCAAGAACAGGATTATGTGGAAAACCAACAGATCTTCCCTTACTCGCCTGTAAATGTTTTTGTTCCAAAATGTTTTTATATATGGGCTCTAGGGAGTCAAGTAGTTCATTGTTTCGGTGTACTATTGATAGGACACAGAAATGGGGAGAGGGTAAAGAAATAGATTGCTCTCTGAATATTGCATCAAAAATGATCAGGTTGCAGAACTTCATAAAAGCTTTACTAATAATCTTATTGTTCTGACATTATGTAAAGGTGGTATTAATACTGTATGAGTTTTCAAAGTGCTAGATCGGTTTAGAAGTAGGTAATAGGGATGTTGAAGGTTAGAGCCCTTGAAACAGAAGTTCTGGGAAAACAAGGTTATGTAATGGAACACTGCTTTGAGCACAGAAACAAAGGTCCCTTGGGCCTAGGAGGGAAGATGTGATTTGTGATTGTTTCTGTGTCCCTGAATCTACCCACCCTGCACAGGGCTCCACCACCCAATGCCACCTTCTGGTTTAAACCCAGGACATTGTCAGAAAGTTAACACCCCAAAACTAATTTACGTTAAAAAACGTTAAGGTCTGCTGCAAAGTTTTCCCATGTTTTCTTGGTTTACTTGTTCATCATTCTATAAGTTAGCCACAGCCTCGCAAGAGCAGCTTAAGGCTTCTTTCATAAATTGGCAGCAGCATTTAAGTTCTCAAACATTATATCCCAAAGTCTGCAGGCAGACAGCTGGATACAGTGCTGAGTTTCTTAAGATTGGGATCTCTTTCAAATGAAAAAGGACAGAGCCAAGTAGAGAAAAGACTTTGTGCTCCCACCCAGCCTTAATGAGTCTCATGGTCTAAAAACAGGAAGAAAAGAAATGCACTTTCAGAAGCTAAAATGACAGTGTCTGCTAGAAAAGCTGTAGTTGTAGGCAGCGAGGGTGCCATGTCCTTGGTTCCATTCCTGCATGAGTGTGCGGAAGGCACACACTTTCTAAGAGTAGAGAGGACTAGTGCCAGCCCGGATGGGTTTAAAACTGCAAACAGTTGGCGAAAACAGGATAGGTTGGTGCAGGGAGCATAACAACATTGGCTTTTGACAACGGAAATGGTGTATCTTCCCTAAGGGCAGGCCAGGGAAAGAAAGACTTCAGCTTCTTACCTCTGCATGCATGGGCACATGTGCATTGCGCAGTCCACAGGAGGTCTCACTCTGCAGGAAATGCTCTCCTCCCGCATTAGTCTGTCCTTCCATCCCTTCATCTGTGGTCGTAGTGAAGGCTAGGTAAGTAAGCGTGGGCTGTTCTACCCGCTAGAAGTCCAGGAGCTGTTGTATACCTCATTTCTAACTCATGACCAAGTGACTTGCTTTAACTTTCTCGAAACCCTACAGAGTTGCCAAGTCTGCCCTCCCTCCTCTCAGTCATGTTAAACTCTGGCCTATAGCATCATGGGACCTGTAGTCTAGGGTGGGACCCCCTAAATCTTCTGAATGTCGCTGCTTAAAAGCTACTGCAAACTGAGGGCAAATTGCAATCTTCTGTTCCTTTTTGTTGCAAGGGGTCTTCACAGGTCTCTTAACATCCGCTTTCCCGGCCACCCTGCCTTTAGGGGCTGGCCAGCTATCCACACCCCTGCCCCACCCTGCGTTTCTGACAGCTGGCCACACGTCAAGTACTTGCCTTTTCCTTGGTGGGGTAGAGGCCAACCCCTTCTCCTCTGAGGCCTCAGGGTTCTGTTTCTTTTCAGGACTTTGGGTAGAAGGGAAAACACCAAAGGCTCCTTTAAGCTGACTGCTGCATACACATTTCACTTTTTTTCCTTTGATATGACCAAAAATATCCAAATATTTAAGTTTATCATTAATATTATTATTATTTGACAATCTCGTATCCAGTGGGCTCTCTAGAAGCTGCATCCCCAGCCCTTTCACCTTTTCTTTGAATGTAGTTCCCAACCTTCAATTCCCACCCCTCATGCTGACAAAAAGCTTAGCCAGGTCATGATACTGCTGCTATAAGCCAGGGGAGGGTGGTTTCTTTGTTTTGTTTTGTTTTTTTAAAATTTCCAGCCAAAACCAAAGATTTCTTAATGATTGTATAAACTCAAAACAAACAAAAGAACCAAAGAAAAGGGAAGTCTTCAGCATCAGTCCAGCCTGTGGTGTCCTGGCAGTTGGAAGAGTGAGGCCAGGGAAGGTGGGCGCCCTCTGACCGGATCAGAAAGGGCAGGCAAGCTGTTTTCCACCTTCCAGGGTCCTGCACAGGTGCATGCCCCTAGCTTTGGCCCTCGCAAACGTGTGAGCATGCCCTGAAACAAATTGGCATTTCAGATTTTCCAAAACAAAAGTCAAAAAATCCCATCATCACCATCATCCACCCTACACCAACCAGGGTCACTATGGGGACTTAACACAGGGCCTCAGGAGGGTGGGAGCTGCTGCTGGACTGGCCCGAGGACTCCACAGAGTGGGGGACGCTGAAGACACTGGCGCATGATTGGCTGCTCTGCTGGGTGCTTTAACCTCTGGGGCTGGGCGAATGCACGCCAAGGTGCCCTTCTGAGCCGTTTTTCTCTTTCCTTTACTGGAACTGCTTGGAAGTGGCCGTCCTGTTTGTGAGAAAACGTGCAGAAAGATGGTCAAGCTTTTCATTTCTCTCGATTGTAGTTTTGTTTCCTTTTTGCAGCACCACTGTGCAACTATGCATTGTACTTCACAACCTTTTGTGCTAGGTAGATGCCTGTGACTTTTTAACTTGGGGGGTGGGGGGATTGCAAATGAAGGAACTTTTTACATGGATCTTTTTAATCTCAGTTGATTGGGGGAGGGGGGAACTTGGTTCTTGGGTCATACAAGCTCTATCCCAAAGCAAAATCCAAATGTTAATAATATTAGCCTGATGCAGATACCAAAGATAATTTCTTTCCTGCAGAACCTTAGACTTGTGTATTAAGTACGATTACCCAGCACTTGCATTAGTCTAACCTCAGTAATTCCAAAGCTTAGATGTATATTTTGGTATATTTCTGGGATATTAAAAAAAAATGTCGTTTAACTTCTTGTTTCAGTGTAATGCTCTTAAAGTCATAGCATGAAAATAATTGAACTGTCCTATTCTTAGTAGTTTGAAATAATAGTATTTTTGTATGTTTTGGGTGTGTCTATGTATGTATTAACATAACAGTTTTCACTGCCTAGGTGTTCATAATAAAAAAGAAAATGAAAAAGTTCTGAGTGTACATAATATTCAATAATAATCTCCCACCAGGTGTCAATTTAGATTGCATATTCCTCATTACTGTTCCCAACTGGGATTTTGTTTTCTTTTAAAGAGACAGTGATCGTGTCTTTCTAAAGATGTTTTCTTTGTCTCTCTCTTTTAATATCTTAACTCACTTTTTCTTCCTTTTTTGTCTTAATTATTAATTCAGGGGTGCTTGTCCACTGTTGTCAACGGAAGGGCACAAGGGGAATTGGCCCCTTGGCCTCCGAGAACTTTTTGTTTTATGTACTTTAAATGTGAGTTTGAGTTCTTCTTTGTGGAAACTTAAAACGTGGTGTAAATGATTCTTTCCGAAATTGTCCAGCAGCTTTAATGAGGCAGTGACAATTCTGAGGTGGTTTGTTGGGAGTCCTTCTACATTTCTCTTACGTAACCTGCACTCTGGGTGGCTGTTGTGTAGCCGTACTGCCCCAGAGCGCCTGTTAGCCAAATATTTCCCCTCTGATAAAAATATTTTCTAAGAATCAGCTGATAACTTGGTGTGCTGGACCTTGTTATCTGTGCCCCTGGGAAACACGTTTTCTTGGTTTTGAAAACCTGAAACACAGGCAACTTTACATTTTGGGGAATTAGCTGATGCCTCCCGAGGCTTGAGGAGGTGGCGGGGAATATGAGCGGTGCTGTCTCTCTCAAAGTGCCCTTTAGATGATTCCCCCTCCTAGGGCTGCCTGCAGGGGCTGTAGGCTTGGGAGAGATTGTGTAGGTGACAGTGAATCAGAATGAAATGGTAGATTTTGTGTAGATGCATTTGTCTGCTGTAATTTTTTATATATATTAAACTTACTGTAACTGTACAGTTTCTTTCTGTTGTAAAACATCATTAAACCATTTTCCAAGTGTTTTGACATTGTTGGAGTTTCTTTGAAGTTGCCGTGTTTTGGTATTCTGGATACTTCACACACACATTCTCAGACTCTTCGCATAATTCATCTCCCAAATTATTTTTTCCAAGTGCTCTCAGGAATCCCAGAATCACCATAAGCACCTTGGTTCCTGCCCCACTCCACCCTGCCTTTTACCCTTCAGGCTTCCTCACCTTTTGTGAGGGAAACTGACTTTGGTTGTCCTCCATCCCTTCCTCACCCTGTGCACGGAGACATTTCACACTGTGGCGTCAGCTGCTGTGCATAACTCCCAGACACCCTCTGCTTATGTGCTGCCTATTCTGATGCCTGAGTGCCAGGCTGGCCTCTCTCCCCCACTTGTTTTCCTGCACCCCACAAGCTGGCGCCGGCTGCAGGGCTCCTTTCCCTTAGCCCTCTCTGGTTCTGGCACAAGCCTGGGCCAGTACTGACACATTGTATTGCACCGAGCCCAACTCTAAGGCACAGCTCACCAGCCTGGATGCCCAGCTCACTTGCACTGTGCGACCCTGCCTCCAAGGACGCACCTGTGCTCACGTGCTGGTTCCCAGGAACGGTCCTGTTCTCTCCCAAGAATCAGCAGTTCTGCTCCCCTCCTCCCCCAAGGGCAACCTGCCGATTGATGACTAAATTGCCATTACAAGCTTGACTGACACTGACTGCTGAAATAAAGCTTAAAGCAAAGCTGCATTTTCACTCAAGCATTTATTATGCAAGGTAGGAAGGCTTTAGCATGCCAGTATAAATTAAAACAGTAGAAAAAAGGCAGAGCAGAGAGCGTTTTTCATCCATGGGCTGTGCCTTGTAATGACACAGCAGTGTCCCAGCACATTGACTGGGGTTTTTCCTGTCCTGCCACTGTCTGCTGGGCAGTTACAGGTCCCATGGTGCTGGGTCTTCCTGTGAGGCCTTCGCGATGATGGTTTTGTCATTTACTGAAAGCCTGAGGCGAATCAAGGGCCTTCTCTTGCCCCCAGGCACTTTGTTCACACCGCGGAACCATACTGTTCTTTATACCACTTTGTGCACAGCTCATCAAGGGCAGTCTTGTTCATCTTCCAGCCCCCATAGCACGTGGCAGTTCAATGGTGTGGCACAGAGGCCCCCGGCAGGGAACTCCCCCCCCCACCCTGCTGCCCTCGCAGGCCCTAGCTGAGCCTCCCCTGCCTGCCCACCTTCCCATGCCCCTGCAGCTCCCTGGCTGCACCTGACCTAGGCTCCCTTCCTGTCCGCCCCACTGCCCGGCCCTCTCACCAGGGAGGGAGGTGCAACATGGCCCAGTACAGTTACCTTGAAAGGAGGTGAAGGTGATAACAGAAGCCAAATTTACAGCAGGGGTGAAGCCACTCAAACATTGACTGTACAGACATTAGGGCAAGTGCTAGCATCTGCGGTTTCTCTGGGGCTTTTACAAAACAACTCGGCTGTAAGAGACGGCATGCCAGCCTCCCAGGGAGAACACGTAGCCGCCAGGAGACAGGTCTGCCTGCACCACTGGCAAATCAGAGGGCCCAAGGCCAGGGCCATGAGCCCTGGGGCACACTCCCTTAAAGAGTGCGAGGACAGCAGTCTGATGTTTTGGAGCTGAATATGACCAAAGCATCCTGTACATGAAGGGTAATACTTTCGTGGCTGAGATGAGTGAACCGGGTTGTAAATGCTTTATCCTGTGTCTCAATCTGGATATCTGCAGGTCTGGCCTTTCAGTGGTGAAATACCCTGGCTGTTAGCGAGGGGGCAGGGCCTGCATGTGAAGGGCGTCGTAGGTGTCCTTGGTGGCCGTACTGAGTCCCTGGTGAAAGCAAATCAGAAAAGAGTGGGTCAGCAGCCTCAGTGGGCAGAAGCGAACCCGGAGGCCAACAGGTGTCTGCAGCACAGTCCCGTGGCCACCCACCCAGCCTCCAGAGGACCAGGAAGAGTCCCGCTGACCCCACTGGTGGGAGCCTCGGCTGCGACAGCTTCGAGAGGTGGGTTCTGTGCCCTGCTGGGAATGGCCTTGCTGCAGCTCCTTTCCAGCTCAGTTCTCACCCCTCTTTTTAGCTCCTCAAATTCTGTGCCTTATAGTGCCTGGGCCCTGCCAAGTTCATGTCACACCTAAGAGAAAGGAGTCTCCCACCTTCCACCCTGAGCAGGAATCAGGGGAAGGGCCCGGGCCTGCTCCAGAGCATCTGCTATCCTGATACCTGGGCCCAAAGGAAGCCTGGACTTGTCACAGGGAAAGGAGGGGCTCCTTGGCCTCAGCCCTCTGAGAGCCTCCTTCCCAGTCCCAGCTATTCCAGTATTTTCTTGGTCAGGAACAGGCCCACAAGGCTGGCCCCAGACCTGCTGGAATTCCTGTCTCCCTGGTCCAGGGGCCAGGAAGGAGTTGGATCAACAGCAGCCACACACAGGTAAGTTCCTGGGGCCCTTCTGATATTGCTCAACTCAGGTAAGCTGGGCATCCCGACACTGGAGTCAGAAGAGCGAGCTATGACAGCCCATGGAAGCCAGAAGGAGAGAAATGAGAACCTGTGGGGATCATATTTTAGAGAAGTAGGTTGATTGCTTAGTTTGCATAATTATTTGCACTGACTTGCAAAAACCAGGCACCTAACTACATAATGTTTTCTTTTTGAAGTTGTCATTTTTCTTAACTTTTCTCCTTCAGTCTTCCCAGCCATCCTCTCATCTTACTAGGTCTAAGGAAATGACACAGAGCAAGGGTTCTGCAAGGACCCAGAAAGGCAGGATCATCACTCATGTGGTCCTTTGCCTCCACCTGCACCTGCCAGGGGGCTGTGCACCTCTAGACAGCTGCTGCTGTGTCTGCCGTAGCCAAACAATGCATGGTTGGAATCAAGTAATTTGAATGGCTGAGTCCCAGCTGTGCTCTAGAGACTTATTGGCAGTGGCATTGCCACTGGCCTGAATGGGTGCCCTGGCCTTGCTCTGCCCAGCTGCTGGCAAGAGCTGGTGCCACCAGCAGGCAAAGTGTGGGGGCCTTGATTGTGGTGCCCCTTCCCTGGAAGGGACGCCGGCAGCTCCTACCTGGTAAAGGCCGTCGTGCCCCTTGCCCCTCCGGCGCTGGTTCTTTGGGAGTGAAATGAGAAAAGGATGAGAAAGGCAGTCAGCGGTGGCATTTCTGCTCAAGGGCCCCTCCCAGGGTACCCAGGAAGTCAGAGATAACTGTCTCCCAGCAGCACCCCTGCCCCTGGAAGAGAAAGATCCTCGGGTCCCTGGTCAGACCCTCATCTCTGCTGCATAAAGTGAGGCCTGGCCATGGTGGGGCTCGGGTTTGCTCCACCCCACTCAGATCTTTACAGCCAGCAGATTCCTAAGGTCTAGGGCCTGTAGGACCTGTGTTGCCCACTGCTTGGATAAATGGACTCCCTTCAGCTCTTAAAGTTCTTGGTTAGTCATTTCTGCTAACTGACAACCACTGTTTTGACCAGTTACGAGCTCTGGCTCAGTCAGTTCAGTCACGCTCCCCTGTTTACTAGCTGTAAGACCTTGGGTAAGTCACTTCATCTCGCAGGGCACATGTTTCTCAGTGCGTTACTGTGGGAATTAAATAAAACTACAGAGAACCCCTGCTTGGAAGGGATCAATGCTTCACTCTCACCATTTTGAAATTCTTAATTGTTGGTGAAGAAGGGGTCCCACATTTTCATGTTGCCCTGGGACCCGTGGTCCTGAGCACCGAACACAGCAACACATAGTAAGCACTCGGTGCTTCCTGTTATTAAAACAGACCTGCTTTTGCAAAGCTTAGGCTGTCACAGAATCTCGATTTGGTTTTCAATCCTCAAAGAGCATCAGCCCTTCCTTGGTTTCTTAACGTTCTGACTGGGTGACAGCCAGGTTCGCCTTCACCTCTGATGGCCACCACTTGGGCATTTGCAGCTGGGATGAGAAGTGGGTGGGAAAGGAGGCCTGCAGCAGGAGTGTCTGGAGGACCACGAGGAACTCCCTTGGGAATTAAACAGCAGCACTCACCTCGCCTTTCATCCCGATCTCACTGTAGGCCTCTGCCATCTTATCTTTCTGCAGTGCCTGAGGAAGAAAAGAACATGGGGCACTGATTTTCACCAACTAATGCAGAAGGCAGCAGGCTCCCCTACAAGAGGAAGCTTCTTGATCCCCAAGTTGGCAGCAGTAACGGGGAGGGAGGGCGCCACAATCATGGCTCCAAACCTTATGCACACAAACTTCTCTGCCCACAACCAGCTCCAGTCCACCCACCTCGTCCTCAGCCCTTTGGAGTCTCTGAGCTGCCAGCCCTCTGCACTGAGCTGAGGAGCTCGGGTTAGGCTCAGAAAGATAGGATGTGGAGTTCTAGACAAAGACACAGAGACTGGACAAAACAAAGGCTCACCTGGAGCCCCAGCATCATTTATCTGAGCAAGTTGTCTCTTTACACAGCCAAACCCACTGGCTGTGGATCAACCCTCCCTCCTCACGGGAGGCTGCAAGAGTCCCCTGCAAGGCAACCCAGGTCAGTAATCAGGGTCACACCCAGGAGGGTGAGGTTGACCTTCCAATAAGGGGGGACACTCAGAAGACAAGCACCCAGGACAGGAGACCCTCCAAGGGACCAACCCCTCGTTCTTGCCCAGCTTGACCTTGCTGTGTCCCGCTACGCTCCAGGCTGACTTGGGAACTCCAGCAGCAGGGGTCGGGGAGGGAGATCACTCCGCACTTTTTAGCTAAGGAGCCTTTCTAGAAGCAGATACTGTTGCAGGCCGCAAGAAAGTGAGGCACTACTCCCCCCAGGAAGGGACGGTCTGGACAGACAAAGACTAAGGAGTGTGGAGCAATGCCTTCCTCCGGCACCCTTCCCCCGGAGCCCTTCCCCCAGCGCCCCTCCAACTTTCCAAAGTCAAATGTGACATCTCCTCTACTTACATTGTACAGGCCTTCCTGAGGGTTCTTCCTTCTCTGCTAGAAAAGACAAAGAGAAGACGTTAGAGGGAGAGAAACACAAACCCAAGCCATGAAAGTACAGCAAGCCCCATCCTGCCCTCCCTCACCAGCCACAACCCCCTGGGGCTCTGCTATCCTTCTCTCTCCTCCTTGTGCTACCCCAGCCTTGCCTAGGCCACTGCTGGGGACCGACTGCACTACATGGCTCACACTTGGTTACTGCAGTTGGATACACTTAGGGGCACACCCAACCCCATGTTTGGTGGGGATAAGCCCGTAGATTATCCATCCCCTTGCAGACAGACCCCCATATACATCACAAGCTGGCAAGTGGGACTTCTGGCGGAAGACAAAAGGTGCCGCATACCATCATTTGGAGCAGGGCCAGCCACTGCTAGTGAGGTCCTCCCCACACCCTCCTAGTCCAGACAAGAGGAGAGGAGCCAAGATAAACTTTGACAGTGGGGTGAGGAGTGGTCAAGGAAATCTACAGCCTCTCTATTCACTCTAGCAACAGCACAACCAGCAAGGGCTCAGCCTGGACGGGGGCTGGAAGGACAGGCGTGACCACTGGCAGCATCAGGCAGCACTGCCCTTACACCAGGACAGCCCTGGCCTTTGTCCTGAGCCCTGCTCTTAAGAGGACGCTAACAAGCCAAATTTAACAACACCTTACATCATTCACTGTGATCAAGTGGGATTTATCTCTGGGATGCAAGGATGGTTCAGCAAATGAAATCAATAAACATGACACACCACATTAACAGAATGAAGAAAAAACATCATAATCACTTCACTAGATGCAGGAAAAGCATTTGACAAAACTTAACATCCTCTCATGCTAAAAACTCTCTCAACAAATTAGGTATAGAAGGAATGTGCCTCCACACACTAAAGTCCACATCTGAGCAATCCACAGTTAACACCACACTCAGCAGGCAAAAGCTGAAGCCTTTCCTCCCTTCTCTAAGATCTGAAACAAGACAATGCCCACGCTCACTATTTCTCTTCAATATAGTACCATAGGTCCCAGACAAACAATTAGCAAAAGGTGCCAAGAATATGCAATGGAAAGTGAATGGTCTCTTCAATAAATGGTGTTGGAAAAACTGGATATCCACATGCAAAAGAATGAAATTGGACCTTATCTCACATCGTATACAAAAACCAACTCAAAATGGATTACAGACTTAAACACAAGACCTGAAACTGTAAAACTTCTATAATAAATCAGAGGTGAATAGACATTTCTCAAAAGAAGACATAAATGGCTAAGAGACACATGAAAAAAATGCTTAATCTCACTGACCATTAGGGAGATAAAAGGTAAAACCACTTGCCGGCCTGGTGGCTCACACCTGTAATCCCAGCACTTTCGGAGGCAGAGGCAGGTAGATCACCTGAGGTCAGGAGTTCAAGACCAGCCTGACCAACATGGAGAAACCCCGTCTCTACTAAAAAAACAAAATTAGCCAGGCGTGGTGGCACGTGCCTGTAATCCCAGCTACTCAGGAGGCTGAGGCAGGAGAATCCCTTGAAGCCGGGAAGTGGAGGTTGCAGTAAGCCGAGATTGTGCCATTGCACTCCAGCCTGGGAAATGAGAGTGAAATTCTGTCTCCAAGAAAAAAAAAGGTAAAATTACAATGAGATCACCTCACACCTGTTAGGATGGCTATTACCAAAAAGACAAAAGACAACGATTGCTGGCAAGGATGGAGAGAAAAGAAAACCATAGCACACTGTTGGTGGGAATGTAAATGAATACCAGCATCATGGAAAAACTGCATTGAGGCTCCTCAAAAAACTAAAAATAGAACTACCATATGACCCAACAATCCCACTTCTGGGTATTTACCCAAAAGATTTGAAGTCTATTTGTTGAAGAGATGTCTATACTCCCATGTTGACTGCAGCAGTTTTAACAATATCCAAGTTACGGAATCAACCTAAGATAAAGAGGACTGTGGAACATATGTACAATGCAATACTATTCAGCTTTTAAAAAGAAAGAAATTCTGTCATTTGCTCTAACATGAGCGGAACCAGAAACCATCATGCGAAGTGAAATAAGCCAGGCACAGAAAGCCAAACGCTGCGTGTTCTCACCTGTATGTGGAATCTAAAACAGTTTAACTCACAGAAGCATGGATAAGTAGCATGATGTTTACCAGAGGCTGGGGAATGGGGGGAATGGGAAGATGACAGTCATAGGGTACAAAGCCTCAACTAAATAGGAAGAGCAAATTTATTTTTAGATCAATAGCATGGCACGCTGAATATAGCTAATACTTGAGTACTATACATTTTAATAACTAAGAGTAAATGCCTAATGTTCTCATCACAAAAATGTTAAATATTTGAAGTCATAAATATGTTAGTTTAATCCTTTCACATATTCAAAAATCATAACATTAAATATATAGATATACAATTTGTCAATATACAATAAACAGAGAGAGAGAAAGAGGAAGGAAGGAAGGGGAGGAGGGAGGGATGAAGGAAGAAAGGAAGGAAATCAGAATGAAGTGGAAAAAACGAAGAGGACGCTACTGTGGTCTCATCCAGCTGCTCCCCTACCCACAGGGTAGAGTCTACACAGCCAAGAAGTCAGAGCCCCAGGGACCACACTCCAGCCATACTCCAGAGGGGTACCCAGGACTTGTCCAGGGATCTTGGGCCCTTCCTGTGTGGACCTCTTCACCAGGTCTGTCCTCCTGGGGCAGACGGTGCCACCAAGTGTGCATCTCAGGATAGCCAAGGAGTGGGTGGAGCTTAGACATGAGGGGGGTGCCACAGCCAGGGGTGAGGCCCCTTGAGATGCAGAATGGAGCCAAGGAGGAAGAAGAGGATGTGGCAGCAAGTGGGTCTCCATCTCTTCTCTTGTCCTGGGCCCACACACTGAGGGTCAAGTCTGGTTGCAGAGTGAGCTGGGGCTGAGAAGTCCTCTCCTGCAGCCTGGGCTGAGCCCTACCACACATGCAGGAACACACAGGAAGACAGAGGAACCCTTACCTGTTTCCCCCCCATCTCAGGGTCCCGGCCCCGTCTCTTGTCCAAAACATCGTACTCCTCTCTTCGTCCTAGATTGAGCTCCTAAAAGAGACAAGAAAGTGTCCGACACAGGGCAGAGGAGCCTCAGAAGGATGGGGCCAGCTGCACTGGGGAGTGTGGTTTCCCTCTCTGGGGTGGCTCAAAAAAAAAGGGGCCGGGGCTGGGGAGGGAGTGGTAACAGGTTCATCTGGAGACCGCCATCGCATCTCAGAGAACACGCGCTACCATGACGGTGGGTGGGATCCCCAAAGGTCACCAAGTACTATATGCTGATCAGTCCAACAGGATAAGGAACAACATTCCTGTGAGCAAGGAGAGAAGCTGGGCCTCAGAGGTGGTGGTCAGTTCCACCGGAGTCCCATTGCACAGGTAGTGTAACATCGCTTTCCCTTGCTGGGAAGATTCGAACACATTCCTTCTTCACCCACTCTAGCTTTTGCAAATTGCTGATGGCTTGGGGGCTCACTAGTGGCAGGCACTATACTAAGCTCCTTCCATGCATCAAGCTACTAAGCATGTTATCCTTATGGCGCCCTTTGAGACAGGCACAATTACTACCCCTGTTTTACAGGTTAGAAAACTGAGGCTAAACAAGTTGCATTCGGGTCAGAGGTGATAGCTGGGGACCAGACCTAAACCCGGGACTCTGGAGGGTGTGTTCCCTAGGTCCGAGAAGGGGACTGCCCTTCCTTTCCGGGAGGGTCTGCGGCGAGGCTCACTTACGTTATAGAGCTGGTTCTGGCCCTGCTGGTACACGGGGGCGTCTGCGCTCCTGCTGAACTGCGACACAGAGAGCAAAGCGCGTTACTGCTCCGCGAGGGCGCGCGGTAACCCGAGGGACAGCCCTACTCCGCTCCTTGGCAACTAACGATTCTTGCCCTGCCTCCTGGGGCTGAGCCCTTGCAGGGGCCGGGGCGTGACAGCCCCTTTTTCTGAGCCCAACTGTCCATTTTTCTCCCGCCTTTGACATGTGCCTCTATCACGCTGGCCCAGGACCCGCTGGAGTTTATTCTTCCCAAGCTAGCTAGCGTCCTCGCGCGTGCGCAGAGGTGTAAGGTTCTTGGTCTGTGCCCCCTGGGGACGTGGAGCATTTTCTAGGGTCCCTTCCTCCAGGAGCTCCGAGAACAATCAGGGTGGATGGCGGCTGCTCAAGGTCCGGCCTCCTATCTTGACCCCTGGGGCAGGATGCGTGCGTGCACCACTCGCCCAGCCCTCTGCCATCGCCCGGCTACGCCGGTGCCCAGGAAGCCTTGGGCTCGCTTAGTGTCCTGAGCATCTGCTGGAAGCTGACACAGCCTCAACTCTTGCTTCAGTTCATGCCGCCTCAGCCAGGAGAAACTGCAAGGTCTTACAGATCCAGAGCACTGGAAACAACCTTAGAAATCACCTAGAGCAGCGTTTTCAAACTTAAGAAAGATTTGGTTTCAAATAAAATCTTATGCCCAAGTCCAAAATAAGCAAGAAATGGGTTGGGGAGCACCGCAGGGATGACTGGAACTAGATCCTCCCCCTTTACTCCTAAATTCTTCCAGCCTCTGCCCACATAATGACCAGCCCCACCAAGAAATCCAGGGTCTGCAAGGCACCAAGTGAAAACCCATGCTCTGGCCCACTCTCCCAAGTACAGATGAGGAAAGAGCCTTTACAAGAGAAAGGCTAACATGGCCTTCATTCATACTTAGACAGCAGGATCTCTGCCTGAGTGTAAGCCTCTTTGTCTCCAGCAGTATCGCCTTCTCCGAGACACTCTGAAGTGCACACATTTGTATGGTTCGTCATGGAGGCGCCTAGCACCAGGCTCTCCCTCCTACCCGGTTCATCTCAGCCAGACACCTCACCTCCTCCTCAGCCCATTCAAGGCACACACTTGGCTGGTCCCTGCTTTGCTCCTGGATACCAAGCTCCAGGCACCACCCAAGCTTGAAACTGTCCAAGACCAAGGACCCTCTGAATATCCATCAAGTGGGGGACCCCGTGCCCTCCTCCCAAAGCCCAGTGGTACCCACCTTCACTCTCAGGAACAGGGCAGTAACAATGACACCATAGATGAAGAGGATTCCATCCAGCAGGTAGCAGAGTTTGGGATCCAGCAGGCCGAAGCTCTGTGCCTCTGTGTCAAGAGATAAAGTCAGTCAGCAAGGCCCAGGGTGACCAGAACACAACCCCATCACTCCAGGCTGGCACTAGGACTGACTGTGGCCAAAGAAATTATGACACAGAGACCAGATCCAATCCCCATGCCTCAGCCTGATCACCACTCCCTCCCTCCCACCTCAACCAGCTCCTGGAAAAGCCATTGGCCCTAATGGCAGATGTGGCCACTGTGGGGCCAAAGAACCTGGGAAATGGGAGGAGTGGGAACAAAGTGGGAAGGTGAGGTTGTCGTCTGTGCACAGAGCTCCTGCCTCTGGGACATGGAAGTGCAGCCATGTTAGCCCCTGTGTGAACCAAGAACTCTGGAAGCCTTGGGAAGATGTTCACGTCCGGAAGAATGGAACTCCTGGCCTGAGATGTGTGGCTCCGAGGCCTACCCACAGGGAGACAATAGGTCAAATGATGGTCAAATGAGACCATTTCAATATCTAACAGTAACTAGGACAGGGAGAATCTGGGTTAACTCTCCCCACTCCCTGCCTCCTCAGTGCCAGGTACTCTCTCACCCAAGACAGTGGGGTCTGGTGCTCAGCTTCCCTTCCCTGTGCCCTGAAAGGTCTCATGGGCAACAGACAGAGGTAGCTTTGGTGCCTCTCCCCACCTAGGCGAGCATCTCCCTGCCCCCCAGTCCCAGCTCCATGGCCTCTGCCTTCTCGTCTCCCCTCCTCCCACTACACACGCCCCATTCCCAGGACATGCCCTGCTCTTCGGGACTATTTGCCTTGCACACACTGTTCCCTCTTCGTATTCCCTCCATCTCTCTCCCTGAAGCCCTGCTATTCAGTGACATTCGATGCACCCTACAAACTGCAGCTCAAAGGTCCCTTCTATGTTAGCCTCTCCCACAGCAAATTTCCAAGGGGTCCTGAACTCCTAGTGCCATGTTAACCTTTGTCAGGCTGCAGTCATGCATGTTTAGTGACCCCGCCATTGGAGTACAATGGGCTGGAGAACACGAGGTACAGTAAATACTCTGGTTAAATAAAAGTTTGCATTTTTAGACTGGGCGAAGTGGTTCATCCCTGTAATCCCAGTATTTTGGGAGGCTGAGGCAGGTGGATCACTTGAGGTCAGGAGTTCCAGTCCAGCCTGGCCAACATGGTGAAACCCCATCTCTACTAAAAATACAAAAATTAGCCAGGTGTGGTGGCGGGCACCTGTAATCCCAGCCACTCTGGAGCTGAGTCAGGAGAATCGCTGGAACCTGGGAGGCGGAGGTTGCAGTGAGCCAAGATCGCACCACTGCACTCCAGCCTGGGTGACAGAGTGAGACTGTCTCAAAGAAAAAAAAAAAGTGTTTTTATTTGAAACATCTCTGCACTGTGAATGAGGAGACCCGGATTTTAGTCTAGACCATACGTCCTACTAGGTAAACGTGCAGCACTCGACCTGTAAAACAGGGCATGGCCTCCATCTCACTCAACCCCTGCCTGGCAACTAGAGCAGAGGTCCCAGGCCAGCCCCTCCAGTGTCTGTCTCCCAAGACCGGGGCGCCCTCTGGTGGCCGTCAGACACACATTAGGGCAGACGGAGTAGAGGCCGTATGTGGGAGTGCTGTCATTCTTGCTAGCTGTGTGATTTGGGGCAGGTGATGTACCCTCTGTCAGCTGCCTCTCCTGTTAAACAGGGTGAAAACTAACATTTCTTCAGACACTGCAGTAAATGTAATCTTCGTCAGATCCTCCTGCCACCCACACTCGGACACTGAGGCACGGAGGCTTCAGGTTCAGAGCACACAGTGAGAGGCAGCGCAGGACTGATCCCTGGCAGTTCTTGTCCCCTTCCTGCCCCTGGGCCAGCCCCGCCTACACCTTCCTGCCAGCAACGTTTTGGCCTCCCCGACGAGTCATGGAAGCAGATGATTCAAAGGCAGCCCCAGCACCTGCACCCCCACCACCCTGAGTCCTTCCATCCCCAAGTTTTTGACTTCAACCCTAATTCAGAACCCCTCTTGCCCCCAGGCAGCTGATCTCTGCAAACTTCCCAAAGACTCTGACCAGAGACCACTGATAACCCAGCCACTCGGAGGAGAGGCCAAACTCCTTGTCCAGCGGGTTAGGCTCTGCCGTCACCAGTCCAGGCCTGAGAAGACCACACCTTGATGCCACCCTGTCTCTCCTGCTCCTGCCTTTCACACCCCATTCTTCCTTGAACACATCCAGTTCTTCTACCCTCTTGCCTTCTGAGCCAGGTCCTCTTCCAGGTCTGCACTCTACCCCTCCACTCAACACCTGTTGAAATCAGACTGTCCCACCACCTGAGCCCTGGAGGAAAACATAAGAGGATGTCTGTTCAAGAGCCTGTATCCCTCAAAGCACTCTACAAACGTAACTTATGGGACTCAGATGCCCTCCATCCAGGCTGTAAGCACCCGAGACCAATGGCTGCCTCTTCCTCCAGCCCCTGCATCAGAGCACAGGGCAGTCACTCAATATCATAGAACTTTTCAGAGCTGGGCTTCAGCGATGGGGAAGATGCTGGGCCCAGCCCAGGTGTGCCTGCCCTCTGGCCCCAAGGCAGTGCTGGCAGCCCTCACTGACCTAGGGAGCATCTAAAGGCCTCTGGGGGACAAGCCAGTCCCCATGAAGGCTACCAAATCTGGGGTGACTTTTTGCTGTTAGGGCTGCAGAGGAGCTAACAGTGGCGATTTATGGGACTGGTTGAGACTCAGGAAAAAAAAGCCAGGAGAAAATCACTCAGCTGCTTGTCACAGAAAATTAGAACAGAAAAATTACTGGGCAGTAAATTTACCACAAATAAATACTTCTTTGTGTTGTGCTGACTCAACACAGTACCAGGGCAGGGGAATTTGTGTTGTGCTGACTCAGCACGGTACGGGGCAGGGGGATTGGGCACCTCCCTGAGATAAGTAATGTAAACAAGTTCCCTCTTTCCCTCCCTCCCTCCCTCCTTCCTTCCTATAGCATAGTGTTATGACTGATGACAAACGTACTGTGTGTGGTTGGGAGAACAGGATACTGACCGCAACATAATTCCCTGTGTAGGACCCTCCCTCTCCTCAATCCCACTGTGTCTGTGCTGGGAGAGATGGGCCTGAGGACGACAGTCATGGCCCAGAAAGCTCCGTGCAGGGATGCAGGACCTGATTCCGTTATGCAATTAACTATTCATTGGGCATCTGCTCTGTGCCCAGAACTATTGAAATGGAATGAACTCTGGATTGGGTACAGGTGGGTTTGAGTTCTTCCCCTGCCACTTACTAGCTGTGTGGTCTTGCACAACTGACTTCCCTCTCTGGGCCTCAGTTTCTTCATCTATAAAATGGAGGGTAATCATATCTACCTTAAGGGTTATGATGAGAATCAAAAGAAAATGATGTCTGATATTTGGGTCGAGTCTGAGTCCCTGCGCTCACGGGGCTTAAGGCTGAGCTCTGGAGGCCACACATAAGGCGTAGGGGCTTCCTGGACCGCAGACAGTTTTGCAGGATGCCAGCTCACAGGCACCACATCGCTACTGTCTCCTTGTCCTAGCTTCTTCCCTGTGTCCGCTCCTGCACCTTCATATTTCTACCAATTCCATCCCAAAGGGACCAACAGCTGCTTCCTCGGAGGTTTCAGGGCATTATATAGTAGCTACTTTCCTGTACAAGTGGGGAAGCTGTTTTATTTCATGTTCCTGATCCCTGCCCCAGATTCACAGCACCCAGGAGAACCTCAGCATTTGACAGGAGCCCCAGAGACTGACAGAGGTTTCTCACACACTCTCTCAATCCACTGCCCTCTGCCCTGAGGCTCTGGCTTAAGTGGCCTGGAGTGGAACCTGGGCATGGGGACTTCATTGCGTTGCCATGAATGGGTTGAGATTCAGAGCTAAATCATTACAGGGGCCAGAGCACGTGAGGGAAGCCTGGCCTTTCATAGAGATACAGCTGTGGCCTACAATAAATGTAAATGTAAATTTCTGTCAAACAGATAGAAGAAACAAAGTTAAAGCTTTGATCCTTTTTACATACTGTACATCTGAACTGTATGGTAGAACTCTCTTAAGCCTTGGTTTTCTCATCTGTAAAATGGGGGTAACAATACTATCTGTCTCACTAGATGGAGGTGAGTATTAAATACTTTTTTTTTTTTCCTGTCACCCAGGCAGAGTGCACTGGTGCAATCTCAGCTCACTGCAACCTCTACCTCCTGGGTTCAAGTGATTCTCCTGCCTCAGCCCCCTGAGTAGTTGAGGATTACAGGCACCCACCACCACACCCAGCTAATTTTTGTATTTTTAGTAGAGATGGGGTTTTGCCATGTTGGCCAGGCTGGTCTTGAACTCCTGACCTCAAGTGAGCTACCCACCTCGGCCTCCCAAAGTTCTGGGATTACAGGTGTGAGCCACCGTGCCTGGCCAAATACCATACTTCTTATGAGGTGAGAATCAAATAAAATAATTATTATGGGGTGAAGGACCCTTTAAGAGTATGTGTTCCATTACGCCACCTATTGTTATTGCCATGATTTCTACTGTAAGCCCATGCACAATAAGCTGGAGCCTGCCCTGTAGCAGGATACCAGGAATAGGCCAAGTGAGACACCCAGAGGCTCGGGGGCAGCCAGAGATGATCACAGAGTATCTAAGCATGTGGGTCATTGTATCTAAGTGTTATGTGTCTAATTAGTCAGTTGAGCCTCGCCATCCCTATATAGCCTTTTGTCATCTCCATAAAAGCCTTGAGTTCAGGAAGTCTCATGGCACTGACCATTAACAGGAAGATTCTGGGGCCCCAGAGGGCACCCTGGGGGAGGCACACCTGTCCTTTCAGAATTTGGTTTCTCTGGGTGAGATTTATTTGAATTGTGTTTGTCTGTTTCTGAGCCAGACTGTGAACTTCTGGTAACAGGGATCAGGCCTTAATCAACCTGGTCCTGCCATACCCTGAGGCTACAGATACACGCTGGTGGCCTCTTCCCCTCCAGCCATCCTCCTCCTCCAGCAAATCCT